AAAAAAAAAGAATGGAGGGACCAATAAAGAATAATTTGGGCTCCAGGATTTGCAATATCCTGCAAGCGTGAGGAATCTCTGAGTTGTTTTCAGTTATAAATCAAGGATAATTTTGGATATTATTTATTCTTTCTGGGCACAGAAATATTGCTTTTTTAGATAAATTATAACGTAGATAACAAATCATCTCTTATGAAAGTTGAAGTTTATCTTGAGAGATCTTATAACCCTTATAAGCTAGTTGTTATAGAAGATACATTGAGTCAGTTTCTGAGTTTTCTGTTTAGATGAGGAACACAGAAACAGATCACTTACCTATTGCATTTCTGGGATATTTCAGGGGTTTTAAATTTTTATGTAAAACTTGTGGAAAGTATAAGGGAGCCTCAGTAATACTATCTAAGTAGACTGTTGACTTCTCCAAGTAAAATTAAAAAAAGATTGACTTTCTCTGTCTACTGGGCTGCAAAAGAAAGCAGAGCGTAAGTCCACAATGTTGCCGTGAGGACAGCTTGTTTTGTTTATGGTTACAGCTAGCACTTTGGGGAAATCAGAATAATTTTAAGTTTTTCATTACATGGTTATGAGTGGTTTAGGACTATTCAACTATGGCTTCCATTTCAGTCTCTCTTTAAGTGTATGTGTGTGTGTGTGTGTGTGTGTGTGTGTGTGTATGTGTGTGTGTGTATAACTTTGAATATATATATTCAAAATTTAAAAAATTAGACTTATTTAAGAATAATTTACAAATAGTAAAATTTATCCTTTTTTTTTTTTTTTTGAGACAGAGTCACGCTTGTTGCCCAAGCTGGAGTGCAATGGTGTGACCTCAGCTCACTACAATCTCTGCCCCTGGGTTCAAGTGATTCTCCTGCCTTAGCCTCCCAAGTAGCTGGGATTACAGACGCCTGCCACAACGCCCAGCTAATTTTTTGTATTTTTAGTAGAGATGGTGTTTTGCCGTGTTAACCAGGCTGGTCCCGAACTCCTGACCTCAGGTGATCTGCCCACCTTGGCTCCCCAAAGTGCTGGGATTACAGGTGTGAGCCACCATGCCTGGCCAAATTTATCCTTTTTAGTATGCAATTCTATGAGTTTTGACAAATGCATATGACTATGTAACCATCACCATAATCCAGTTATAGAAGAATTCCCTAATGTTCTCTGTTCAGCTGAACCCATGGTTGGAGTGGCCTCAAAAGTGGCGTTAGGGGAGTTTCTTCGGGGGACTGCCCCCAAAAATCCCGAGATGTGGCCAGTTTGGATTCCAAAGAAAGAAGCTTACTAAATGCCAGGCTGATGAATCCAAAGCATTTATTAGGGGAACTTTGATGCAGAGGGCTGGAGTCCTCTCATTGGACAGCAAGACAGTAGATGGTCTACCCAGGAACGTCTGGAACAAGGGGGTTGGATTATGAGGTTTACTTGAGGGTTTAAAGAATTTGGTTCAAAGCTGGGGCTCATTTCTATGTGCTTAGCAACATATTTGCTCTTTCAGTGTTTCATGCAACAACCTAAACAACTTTATCAGTGCCTGGGAATGAATGTTAAAGGCTCCAGCTTGGGTTCAAGCCTGCAGAGGGCAACATGCAGCTAGCCGGGTCACAGACTGTCAAGGCATTCTGTGTTAGTCAGGACAAGGAAAGTGGGGGAAAATTGGGGGACACTACACCTCACCCCCCTAAAATTCCCCCATGCCCTTTTGTTGCCGACCCCCATACATCCACTCACAACTCCAGCTCCTAGCAAGCTATGGTCTTTTCTCTGTTCCTATAGTTTTGCCTTTTCCAGAATGTCACATAACTGAAACCATACAGAATGTAGCCCCTTTTGTGTCCAGTTACTTTAACTTAACATAATGCATTTGAGGTTGATGTATGTTGTAACATGCGTCAGTACTTTGTTCCTTTTCATTGCTGAATAGTATTCCATTTCATGGATGTACCACCATTTATTTATCTATTCGCCAGCTGAAGAACATTTGGGCGATTTTCAGCTTTTGATAATAATCATTAGAGCCACTATAAATATTCCCATGCAGGGTTTTTTTTTTTTTTCTTGTATGTGTGAACATAGATTTTTATTTCTTCTGGGTAAATACCTAGGAATGGGATTATTGGGTCATGTGGTAAGTGAATATTTAGTTTAATAAGAAACTGCCAAACTGTTGTCCAAAGTACCTCACCAGCGATATAGGAAAGGGTGCTGTCTGTTGGTGAGGAGGAAGAAATCCATCCCAGAGCTGAGACACTGAGGGGCAGGAACGGGAGAGTGAGAGGAAAAGGGGAAAGAGAGAGGCGTGGGGAGTCTGACCGGTGGAAATAGGGGGAGAGATGTGGGAGGACTAGGGGCAGAGATGGGAAGACTAAGGAGTAGAAAACAAACTTAGAAGCCAAGAAGGGGAGACATTGGGTTAGGGGATACTAAGGGGTGGAGATGTAGGAGACTGTATTTTTCTCATGAAAAAGAAAAGGCTGGGCGTGATGATTCAGGCTTGCAATTTCAAGCACTTTGGGAGGCTGAGGTGGGTAGATCACCTGTCGGGAGTTCGAGAACAGCCTGACCAACAGGGAGAAACCCCGTCTCTACTAAAAAAAAAGAAAAAGAAATTAGCCTGGCATGGTGGTGCATGTCTGTAATCCCAGCTACTGGGGAGGTTGAGGCAGGAGAATTGCTTGAACCCGGGAGGTGGAGGCTGCGGTGAGCTGAGATTACGCCATTGCACTCCAGCCTGGGTAACAAGAATGAGACTCTGTCTCAAAAAAAAAATAAAATAAAATAAATTATTGGTGATGTATTTTTGTACCTGTATTAATCCTGTTTCTTCCAGCTTCCCTTCTTTTTAGGATCTCCAGTCTGTCCAAGAAGACTGGGTGTGGATCCTCTGTTTCTCTCCTTGGCAGAGGATCTCTCTGGCCCCCATTCCTCCTCCTGTAGCTGGAGTGAGCTGGGACCAAGATATTTGTTCAAATGTCCTTTTGAAAAGAAAATAAAAATCAGTAAAGGAAAGTGTGAATACACATGTAAGTTTAGAAGCTGATCGTTAGCTAAACTGGCTGTTCAGAGACTGACATTACAACAGGCTTTCTCTAAGCTGGGCCGCTTCTAGCAGGGTCCATTGTAGACCCCTGGGTCCATCTGGCCCTCCATGAGGGTTCTGGTTACTGTCACTTGGCCACTGTTTTATTCCAGCTTCCCAGAATGCTGGGGTCCCCTTTAGAGGCCAATTGGAGAATTTAGAGCTGGAGGGCGTGGACATCCCCTGGCCTAGTTCCTCTAACTTCCTAGTTCCTCTAAGTGATGAAACCAGGGTCCCAAGATGAGAAGGGCTTTGTCTGAAGGCACACAGTAAGAGAGCCGGGGCCAGGACCTGGCAGGGCCTGGATTCCCGAGACAGGCTTCTGTCTTGTTCAGCTGTTTCCTTTCCTACTGTTTCAAAATGCCACCCTTGCCTACTGGGGCTCCCACGGCACTGGTTCAGGGCAATGGAGTGACAATTTCTTTTCTTTACCTTTTTGGAGACAACGTCTCACTCTGCTGCCCAGGCTGGAGTGTAGTGACACAATCATAGCTCACTGCAGCCTGTAATTTCTGAGCTAAAGCGATCTTCCCACCTTGCCTCTGGAGTAGCTAGAATTATAGGTATGTGCTGCTATGAGCAACTAATTTTTTAATTTTTGTTTTTAGAGATAGGAGCCTTACTATGCTGTCCAGGCTGGTCTCCAACTCCTGGCTTCATGTGTTCCTCCCACCTTGTCCTCCCAAAGTGCTGAGATTACAGGAACCTGGCCTGGAGTGACTTTTTCTAAAACACAAGCTAGTGAGGGGCAGTTGGGACTATGGCCTGGGGCTCTTTTGCCCTCTCTTTTTGCCTTGTACCACGCTGCCTTGACCGTTGCCTCTTTCAGGGACATTTGAACTCACGTGGTTCTTTAGAACTCAGGTTCTTTACTTTAGAAATGAGAAAACCAGAGCCTAGGGACCCATGGTGACTTCTCCAAAGTCACCCAGGCTTGGGTTTGCCCTGTTTTGAAGTTTGAGACCAGGCAGGATGGGCAGGTCCTTTCACAGCTCATCCTTCTTGATGGTGCTTGGGGCAGTGAGGCTGCTTGGCTTGGAGCCAGCTCTGAGCCCCGCAGGACCCGCCCAAGACTGAACTCACTGTTTGCACAGGTGAAATTGCCGGAGCTGTTGCGGCCAGTGTCCTGTCCGAACTGACCAACAAAGCCATAGTGAAGAAGGAACTGCTGTCTGAGGTGGCTGGGAGAGACAACTACCGTGTCAATAACAAACATGATGACAGATACATGCCACTGCCCATCAACAAAATCATCAAGCGGGCAGAGGAGTTGGTGGGGAAGGAGCTTCACTATTCACTGACCAGTGACAACTGCGAGCACTTCGTGAACGAGCTGCGCTATGGGATCTCCCGCAGCGACCAGGTGCGTCCTCAGCCTGCGTCCCCTTTCCAGCAGCCAGGCCACTTCCTCAGCTGCCAGAGGCTGGGTGCCTGCTGGGGCCAGGGTGGGATGGAAATAGATATGAGCAAGACAAATTCGCAGATATGAAACCCCCACCCTTGAGGTTTCATATGGAGATAGGCAAGTCGGCAATGTAGACCAGTGCAGTGGGGTGGGGGGGGCGGTGGCCACAGAAGGGAGTCGCAGACTGAAATGGCCATCCACAGCCCTAGAGTTGGGTTTTATGATCCCCACTTTACAGATGGGGAAACTGAGGCTCACAGTGCTTAAGTAACTTGTCCAAATTCATTAAACTCCTAGTTATTGAGTCTCTAGTACATGTCAGCCACAGTGAAGTGGAGGCAGTTAAACCCACATGTGTTCTCTCCAAGGGACCTGATCAAGGAAGGCTTTGCAGAAGAGGTAATACCTGAGCACAGCCTGATTTGATTATTTTGCTTTCTGGAAGAAAATGAGCTGGAGATTACCAGGGAACGGGGGCAATAAGGAATGTAGCGGAGGGAACAGCATGAGCCAGGAAGGGGAAGAGCGTAGGTCATGTTGGGCAATTTTTTTCTGTAAAGGGCCAGATAGTAAATATTTTAGATTTTGTGGGCCAGGTGGTCTCTGTCTTATTACTCTGCTGCTATAAATTTGCCGTACAAAAGCAGCCACAGACAGGCGAGGCTGTCTTCCAGTAAGTATATTATTTATTTATTTATTTATTTATTTATTGTTTTTGAGAGGGAGTCTTGCTCTGTTGCCAGGCTGGAGTGCAGTAGCATGATCTTGCCTCACTGCAACCTCCGCCTCCCAGGTCAAAACGATTCTTCTGCCTCAGCCTCCCAAGTAGCTGGGACTATAGGTGAACATCGCCATTCCCGGCTAATTTTTTGTATTTTAATAGAAATGGGGTTTCATCACATTGGCCAGGATGGTCTCAATCTCTTGACCTCATGATCTGCCCGCCTTGGCCTCCCAAACCGCTGGGATTACAGGTGTGAGCCACAGTGCCCGGCTGTGTATTATTTATTTTTTACAAAAATAGTTTGCAGGTTGGATTTGACCCATGGGCCATAGTTGGCCAACTTCTGGTCTAAGATAACTTTAAATTATTATTATTTTGATACAGGGTCTTGCTCTGTCACCCAGGCTGCGGTGTATCACGTGGAGTTTGATCATGGCTCACTGCAGCCACTCCTGGGCTCAAGTAATCCTCTCACCTTAGTCTTCCGAGTGACTGGGACTACAGGCATGTGCCACCATGCCTGGCTAACTTTTGTATTTTTCTGTAGAGACGAGGTTTTGTCATGTTGCCCAGGCTGGTCTCCAACTCCTGGGTTCAAGCAATCTGCTTGATTCAGCCTCCCTTGGGATTACAGGCGTGAGCCCCCGCACCCAGTCCAAGTTAACTTAGAAAACCACATATCCCTCATACGTTCTTAGGTGACAGCAAACAGTTAAAAAAATCATAAATGTAAAAAATTTGTAAAGGGAAGGATGGAATTTTTGGTATATTGCATATTACATTTTTGTGTACATATTTTCTTCACAATCTGGGAGTTGCGCTTTTAGCTCATTCGGTTAGGGACAGATGTCTTCCATGTAGTTTAAATAGCCACGCCAGGTGTTATTGTCAAGCCAACCAGCCTAATCAGGCTTATCTTGATGTTCAGAAAAAAACCCGACAAGTTTTCAATTCAAATGAGCATGTTAACGCACTGTTCCTCGACAAACATCTCAGTGTAGAATTCTCATTCTAAAGTAGCTAGATAAGGCAGGAGCCTCGATATGGCTGCACATTCCTTTCTGAAGCTCTCTCTGTTTAGGAGCAATGCATTCTGGAATCCTCCCTTCCTGGTGTCTAGGAGTGTTTACGCCTTAGTCTATGCACCATAGATTCAGGGTGTGGGAGGGTTTAGCTCTTCCGTTGTAAGATAGGAGAAGGAGAGGTGATAAAAAGGGGAGATGGGCAAGGAAAATCCACACCTTCTGGAAACAAGTGCCCCAGGAGGGAGCTCAGGCTATTAACTGAGAGCCTGCCAGGCTGTTCTGGGCACTGGGGCATGGTGGGACGTGCTCTGGTGCTTGGCAGGAACCCTGCTGGCGGGCTCTCCCCTCTGTTGAGCTGAGGAGGGTAGGCCTGTCTCTGGATGGGAGGGGCGTCAGAAGCGGGTTGGGGGTGAGCTGCCTTATCATGCATCTTAAAGCACTTCTACAGGCTGTGCAGAAGCCACAAAGTCGATCTGGAAAACCCCAATTTTAGGAAGTGGTTGACCCTCTGCAGTGCTTCTGAGGGGTCAGAATTCAAACAAATGGGGAAGACTCAGGGGAGGCAGTTTCCTCTTTTCTTTTCTTTCTTTCTTTTTTTTTTTTTGAGATGGAGTTTTACTCTTGTTGCCCAGGCTGGAGTGCAATGGCGTGACCTTGGCTCACTGCAACCTCCACCTCCTGGGTGCAAGCGATTCTACTGCCTCAGCCTCCCAAGTAGCTGGGATTACAGGCACGCGCCACCATGACAGGCTAATTTTTTGTATTTTTAGAGATGGGGTTTCTCCATGTTGATCAGGCTGATCTTGAACTCCTGACCTGAGGTGATCCACCCGCCTTGGCCTCCCAAAGTGCTGGGATTACAGGCGTGAGCCACCATGACTGGCCGAGGCAGTTTTATTTAGTTTGTCTCTTGTCCTAGTGCCTCTCTTGTTGAACTTCATCTGCTGCAGGTCACCCATTAACTTACCTTTCTTTCTTCCCCTTCTTCCTTCCTTCTCTTCTGACTCTGTCTGTCTGGAAAGATCCTCCTCTGTCTCTCTGTAGCTCTCGCTCTGTAAGAAAATGGGCTTGTGAGAACAGAACTCTCGGCACACAACAACCCCATCTAGCCCCTTCTCTCATAGATGACCAAGCTCTAGCACTGCTTCTAGCAAAATAAGGTTGTGCACGTAGGATGACCCCAGCCCCCTGATAAATGCCTGCCTAAGAAAGCTCTCTGTTGCCAGGAGAATTTACCATTTGTTCTAGCCAACACCTGACAAAGACTCTGGCCCTTTCTTAGAGTGTTTATTAAAAAGGACTTCTAATTATGAATCCTTCCTCTGTCCCTTTGAAATGTAGATGCAGTCATCTCTTGGTATCCATGGGTGGGGGAGATTCCAGGACCCCCTGAGGATACCAAAATCATGGATGCTCAAGCCCCTTGTATGAAATGGTGTGATATTTGTGTATAACCTGTGCACATCCTCCCATATACTTATTTTATTTCAGAGACAGTGTCTCAGTCTGTCACCAAGGATGGAGTGCAGTGGTGTTCCACTGAAATATAATCTTGGCTCACTACAGCCTTGACCTTCCTGGGCTCAGGTGATCCTCCGACCTTAGCCTCCTGAGTAGACGAGACTCCAGGCACACACCACCACACCCAGCGAATTTGTGTGTGTGTGTGTGTGTGTGTGTGTGTGTGTGTGTTTGTAGTAATGGGGTTTTGCCACATTGCCCAGACTGGTCTCAAACTCCTGGGCTTAAATGATCCACCTGCCTTGGCCTCCCAATTATGAGTGAGCCACTCATAATTATGTGTAATACTCAATGCAATATAAACGCTGTGTAAATAGTTATACTGTATTTTTAAAATGTATATTATTTTTGTTGTTCTTTTAAAAATGTTTTTTCCCAAATGTTTTCAATTCACAAATTTTTTCAATTCGGGAAACAATTTTTTTCCCAAAATGTTTTCAATTCCAATGTGGAATCCATGGAAACGGAAGGCTGAATGTCAATCTCTTACAACTCAGAAGTGTCTTTCTCAAGGACCTGAGAGCCATTCCTTTGAAATATAATCATCAGGAAGGATAGAGCCTCTGTCCCCAGTCTCTGTGGGATGGTAGAATCCTAACTTTGATAACTGCCAGCTAGCAGACACAGCTGGCCTCATCGCATAGTCAATATTTCACCTCTCTGACTCTCCTGAGCCCTCGCTCACCCCTCCCCCACGCCCCCATCTCCCTTTAAAATGTCAGTCACCTCTGCACAAATTGGAATGGAGCTCAGCCCTTTCCCTGCTGTCAGTAGAGACCGAATCAAATCTGTTTTTGCTGTTTTGTTTGTCTGGCTTTATCTTTGACACTTGGAAACAATTCTGAGTGTATTTGAATAAAATGGTTCTTTTTTCCCCCTTTCTTTTCCCCAGTCACTCATACAATTCAAATCCATCGATACTCCACAGAAATCTGCCGTTTGGTCACTGGTTTAAATATTTGCTTCCCTGGCTGTGAAGGGCTTAAGTGCTCCTCTTGGGAAGTCAGGCAGATCTGAGCCTCGTCACTTGCTAGCTGTGTGGCTTTGCGTGAATTCTTTTTTTTTTTTTTTTTTTG